AAAAGGCTTCTAAAAAGCAATTAAGTGCTCAAAGCAAGCCGTCAGATGCTAAAAGGGAACTACAGTGCTAGTTACATAGCATTTAATTGGTGTTAGGTATTATAGATGTGCATAGATTATATGCAAATACTTCACCATTTTATAGAATGGGCTTGAGCATATTAGAATTTTGGATTATGTGGGGGTCTTGGAACCAATCCCCCATGGATACCAAGGGATGATTATACTCATAAGATAGATATACAAGTTTCTAAATGCTCAGAATATAAATATTAATTGTGCTTTCCTCTTAGATAATTTTGTATACTTTTCTTGGATTAGTACAGCATTTAGGAGAGAGGAGTTCTATACAATCATAAAGGTGTTTATCAAATTTAAAGATCTAGATCTTTAAAAAAATAAGACAATAAAATGACTCAGCCAAGGAATTACTAAAATATATTATGTATAATATGGTATAACTACAAAAAATTTCAACTTGTGATTCTCTGTAAGGATCTATTTGAAGAAATCTGAAAAACATTTCTTAACTCTACAAAAAATACAGATTATATAACTTAATTTACAAAACCCAGTAATAATTCACTAATGAAAAGGTCACTAAAATCTAAAAACTACTTCAACACTACAAGATAAAAGTATAAATTTAGTCTTTCAAAACAAATTCTTTCAAATGGTCAATTTTAAATCAGTTTTTTCCAACTCTGAAAGTTTTTGAAACACCTATCTTTTATTGTGAAATTCAAATCTTAGTAATCACATTTCCCATAATCAATATAGGATATTTTTACCTTGATATTCTGGGCATCCACATTAGCTCCAGCTTCCAGAAGAAGACTAATGACTGTGGTATTCCCTGCTAGCACTGCCCAATGCAGAGCAGTGTTTTTGTGATACTTGTCACCAAGGTTAACTGAAACATTGAATGTTAAAAGCAATCTAGTTGGATCCACACTGAAAAGGAAAAAAAAAACAAAAACAACAACAACAACCCTAATTTCAATTACAGAAATCATTACGGATACTGAACCAACTGTGGCTACACTTACATTCCATCTTGAAACACTTCTATGCTAAGCTACTCAACAACATTACAATTAATAATGAGACAATATTCTAAGAGGAAATATTAAGTATGTACAATGTCATATATAGTAATACAGTTCTAAGGGATGGCAGACTTGAAACTGGCATTTTCTATTTCTGATCTAGAAATCAATGTCATTAATCCCTATATAACTAAATCTTAAAATTTTAATTTAAATCTAGCTTGTTCCAAAGATGATTCAAAAGAACTTACAGATTAATATATTAAATTTTCTAATATGCTAGTCATATGAAAAAATGAATTACTGTTTACAGAAGATAACATTGTCTTCCATTCTTAGAAATTGTTAAAAGAGGAATAGATTGAGGATATTAAAATCACCAAGGCACAGAGAAACCA